ATTTATAAAGTTAAACCGTAGCAAATATTTGCAAAAATCTGTATTCAAAAAATTAACATTAATAAAAAGTAGCATAAATAACGACCACCCCACTGTGTTCAGTGAATGAACGAATGTTTTTCAAAAATTATAGTTATTGATTTTATATTTTTTTCATTTTTTGGTTTTTTGACTTTTGGTCATTGTATTAATTTGTTGTGGCTGCTTTATGTATTTTTTGTCTATTTCTTAAATATTTAATTTATGTTTTTTTTTTTGTAAATTATGCATAGTTTTTTGGTTTTTGGGTTAATTTAAAATGATTGGTTTTAGTTGAGAAAAAAACGAAAACGGATGAAATTACAAAAATATAAACTTTATTTGATGAGTTACTTATTTGGAAGTTTTGACTGAAGTGCAACATTTTGTTACTAATAATATTGAGATATTATACTGCAATTTTGCAAACATTTTTAAAGACCTTCAATATAGACATAAGGTAGACAAAAACATAAAATTTGAAACACCTACTTTTAAGAAAAACACAGACGAACAAAAAACTTAATAAAGTAATAGTAAATAATAAAAAATAGAGCTTCTGTATACCTGAATGATTTATACATACATATTAATAGGTGACTTGTTGCTTGATCATCGCGATAAAAAAATACATAAGATATGTATAACTCGTACAGAAGAAGTACCATAAGATCACCTTAAAGAAATGTCAGTTGTTACATTTTTTCAATGTACCATTTGAATATTATAAAAGATCAAAACGTACTATTTATAGCATGAAAAAGTACCAAAGAACCACTTCCTATAGATTCTTAGTCACTTAAGACTTGTATGTAAAATTGTATGTTTCTATTCAAAATTCATAAAGTAGCATTTAAAAGAAACAAAAAGTACCAAAAAGCTCTCTTTCTATATTATGATACTCCCAAGGCCCTGTTTCTTAATTTTTATGTTTCTAGGTTTAATATTAAAGAAAATTACAAAAGTACCATATCAAAGAACGAAAAGATGTATTCCAAGAAAGAAAAAGTATCATGTAACCTTTTATAGACTAGACAATAAACTAGACTATAGACTAAACTATATACAAGACTATAGACTGGACTAAATACTAGACTATAGACTAAACTATATACAAGACTATAGACTGGACTAAAGACTATAGACTAGACTATAGACTAGACTAAAGACTAGACTATAGACTAGACTATAGACTAGACTATAGACTAGACTATAGACTAGACTATAGACTAGACTATAGACTAGACTATAGACTAGACTATAGACTAGACTATAGACTAGACTATAGACTAGACTATAGACTAGACTATAGACTAGACTATAGACTAGACTATAGACTAGACTATAGACTAGACTATAGACTAGACTATAGACTAGACTATAGACTAGTCTATAGACTAGACTATAGACTAGACTATAGACTAGACTATAGACTAGACTATAGACTAGACTATAGACTAGACTATAGACTAGACTATAGACTAGACTATAGACTAGACTATAGACTAGACTATAGACTAGACTATAGACTAGACTATAGACTAGACTATAGACTAGACTATAGACTAGACTATAGACTAGACTATAGACTAGACTACTAGACTATAGGCTAGACTATAGACTAGACTAGACTATAGACTAGACCTATAGACTGGACTATAGACAGCTAAGACTAGACTATAGACGAGACTATAGACAGACTATAGACTAGACTATAGACTAGACTATAGACTAGACTATAGACTAGGACTATAGACTAGACTATAGACTAGACTATAGACTAGACTATAGACTAGACTATAGACTAGACTATAGACTAGACTATAGACTAGACTATAGACTAGACTATACTAGACTATAGACTATAGACTAGACTATAAGCTAGACTATAGACTAGACTAGACTAAGACTAACTAGAGACTAGACTATAGACTAGACTATAGACTAGGAGCTATAGACTAGACTATAGACTAGACTATAGACTAGACTATATACTAGACTATAGACTAGACTATAGACTAGAACTATAGACTAGACTATAGACTAGACTATAGACTAGACTATAGACTAGACTATAGACTAGAACTATAGACGAGGGACTATAGACTAGGACTTCTACTAGACTATAGACTAGACTATAACTAGACCTATAGACTAGAATAGACTAGACTATAGACTAGACTAGACTATAGACTAAGACTATAGACTAGGACTATAGACTAGACTATAGACTAGACTATAGACTAGACTATAGACTAGACTATAGACTAGACTATAGACTAGACTATAGACAGACTATAGACTAGACTATAGACTAGACTAATAGACTAGACTATAGACTAGACTATAGACTAGACTATAGACTGACTATAGACTAGACTATAGACTAGACTATAGACTAGACTATAGACTAGACTATAGACTAGACTATAGACTAGACTATAGACTAGACTATAGACATAGACTATAGACTAGACTATAGACTAGACTATAGACTAGACTAAGACTAGACTATAGACTAGACTATAGACTAGACTATAGACTAGACTATAGACTAGACTATAGACAGACTATAGACTAGACTATAAGACTAGACTATAGACTAGACTATAGACTAACTATAGACTAGACTATAGACTAGACTATAGACTTAGACTAGACTAGGACTATAGACTAGACTATAGACTAGACTATAGACTAGACTATAGGACTAGACTATAGACTAGACTATAGACTAGACTATAGACTAGACTATAGACTAGACTATAGACTAGACTATAGACTAGACTATAGACTACTATAGACTAGACTATAGACTAGACTATAGACTAGACTATAGACTAGACTATAGACTAGACTATAGACTAGACTATAGACTAGACTATAGACTAGACTATAGACTAGACTATAGACTAGACTATAGACTAGACTATAGACTAGACTAGACTAGACTATAGACTAGACTAGACTATAGACTAGACTAGACTATAGACTAGACTATAGACTAGACTATAGACTAGACTAGACTAGACTATAGACTAGACTATAGACTAGACTATAGACTAGACTATAGACTAGACTATAGACTAGACTATAGACTAGACTATAGACTAGACTATAGACTAGACTATAGACTAGACTATAGGACTAGACTAGACTATAGACTAGACTATAGACTAGACTATAGACTAGACTATAGACTAGACTATAGACTAGACTATAGACTAGACTATAGACTAGACTATAGACTAGACTATAGACTAGACTATTCGTCTAAGACCCAACACAGTATATATATTCTGGGTCCTCATGAAATTCTGAGTCGATTTAGCTATGTCCGTCTGTCTGTCTGTGTAAAACACGCTCACCTTAAAACTAAGCAAAGGAAATCAACCAAATTCACCCATAATATTTATTATTATCCTAAACAATTTGGTGTTGAAAATCAGCAAAATCGGTTCACCACGTAAAAAGTTATGAGTAAAAATTTTAGACTACCTCGAAAAAAATTACGTTTTTTTCCTAATTCTTTTGAAGTTTTCTCAGAAACTACCAAAGATATTTCGATGAATTTTTTCACAGATAATTTTTCAAGGAAGTGATCAATTATATTCAAAATCTTTGCAATCGATCCAATATTTCCCATAGCCCCCATACAAAGGTATATACTGCCGGAAATTAGTTTATCATTAATAACTCCCTCAAATATATCGGTATCAACACAAAATTTTGTACATGCAAATACAATATGAATAGAAATCATACTATCAACGCAGATCTCAGTCGGTCCACAATTGGTCATAGCTCCCATATAATGTCCACTTCCGAAAATCACTTAAACGCATATATTTCATTGAATTATAAAGCTATCGGCATAAAATTCGAGTTGAATATGTTTTGTATAGATATAAATCATTCTACAAAATTTTTTACGGATCGGTCCATTATTGGTCATAGCTCCCATATAAGGCCCACTTCCGAAAATCATTTAAAAACACATATTTCATTGTCAAACAAAGCTATCTTGATAAAATTCGACACAAATATGTTTAGTCTAAATATAAATCACTCCCATATAAGGTCCACTTCCGAAAATCACTTAAACGCATATATTTCATTGAATTATAAAGCTATCGGCATAAAATTCGAGTTGAATATGTTTTGTATAGATATAAATCATTCTACAAAATTTTTTACGGATCGGTCCATTATTGGCCATAGCTCCCATATAAGGCCCACTTCCGAAAATCACTTAAAAGCACATATTTCATTGTCAAATAAAGCTATCTTGATAAAATTCGCCACAAATATGTTTTGTCTTTATATGAGTCACACTACAAAATTTTTTCCGGATAGGCTTATAATTGGTCATAGCTGCCATATAAGGTCCACTTCCGAAAATCACTTAAACGCATATCTTTCATTAAATTCTAAAGCTATAAGGATAAAATTGGTAAATCATTCTACCACTTCTTTCCCGGATCGGTCGATAATTGGTCACAACTCCCATATAAAGACCATTTCCGAAAATTACTCAAATGCAAATTGACAAATAAAGTTATCGCGATAAAATTGGACATAAATGTGTATTTTGTATATATAAATCATTCTACGGAATTTTTACCGGATCGGTCCATAAGTTGTCCTACTTATCATATAAGGTTTGCTTTAGAAAATCACTTAATACCACTTAATTCGTTATTAAATGATTATATCCGGATAAAGTTTAAAATGAATATGCACTGTGTATAGATAAATCATCCTATTAAAAAGTTTTCGAACTGGCCTATTAATGTAAATTTTTCTGGACCTAATTAAAATTAGTATGCAAATTTTGCTAAGTTATCTAAAGATTAGATAGTTAAATGGGTTTTAATAAAAAGTAGCTTGCTGGTGGAGGGTATTTAAGATTCGGCATAGCCGAATATAGAACTCTAACTTGTTTTTAAACCAATTTTCTCTTTTTCCTTTTTTATTTTCAGACAAAATGTTGAAACTGCTCTCCCTAGCGACACTTCTAACATTTTCCATTACTATTGCGGCTGCTGGTAGTATTGACGGTTATCACTATGATAAACCTACAATATCATTAGGTTTGGTATCACATCCCACAAATCTAGGACATGGTCATAGTTTTGGTCCAATACCGACAACACAACCCTTACCACCAGTTCCCTCTATACCAGCTCTACCCACACCACGTGCCAACAAGGGTCCAATCGTACAAACACGAACATTATTGCAAACTCATCCAGCTACTACGACAACGAAAATAGTGCCAAGCACTTATTTACCCTCACCCGGTACAGCTGTAACTAAAATAGCACAACAATATCAAACGCCTGGTCTACAATCACCACCACGTCCAGCTACGTCTACACCATCAGCTCCTGCTGTGCGTTCTACAACTAATGGATTTGGCTTTTCATCACGCTCTACCGTGGGTACCGGTCTAAATCCAACTGTTCATAAACCAGCTCCTCCACCAAGTCAACCTTTGCGTGTGCCCTTCGGTAAACAGTATGCTGTTATTGAAATTATCGATAATGACCTTGAACAAAATAATCATCCCTTCTTGAGCTCACCATTCATTGATACCTTCCGTGCTCATATAGGAGCCTCCGGTACAGGTGCCACTCCTGGACCTGTTGGTGGTATACAAATCGGAACTAGATCTGGTGCTTCTCTATTAGGACAACAGCGTTCATCTGCTCAAAGCGCTTCCGGTGATGCTGTAGCATTGGGTTCTGGTGGTTTGGGTTTTATTCGCCTTGCTAATGGTAATGTTTATTTGGGTTCTGGTTCCTTGGGCTACGTTAGTGGCCAACAACATTCTCAAGAAATTAATGAGGCTCGCACACGTACGGGAGCACCTCAGCCAGATCCTTTACATTTTGGTCATGGTGCTTTGGGTACTCCACCATTTCACAGATTTGTTTATAGATTTTAATAAATACTAACAAACTTAAGCTAATTGAACACATACATACATACATACAACCTAATAATTGTTAAATATATATAATATTTTTGTTTGTAAACTATTGACTTATTTGTAAAAAAAACTATTACTTTATACATCTCTACAATAATTTTATACAAATGTACATAAAAATAGTTAGTTATGACAGTATGTAAATAATAATGAGCAACATTTATTTTACAAATACGATTTATCTGCTTGTTTATAAATTGTACGAAGATATTTTTGTTTTATATGGATTTTATTTTTTAAAAAATTAAAAATTTGTTAATAAAAAATTTTAAAAACGAACTAAATTTAACGATTTATTTACACATTCATGTTGCCAACTTAAAGTTTTCGGTTTGTATCTACGCTAAGAATGTATTGCCATATATTTGGTTGTAGCCTTAACTAAAAGGTTTGAATATTTAATAACATCTTACGGCGTTATGTAGTTAAGACTTATGCCAACTTCTGTAGTGTTGGGTAGAGTTATTAATTTATTTACATTACATTATTAATTACAACGTTTACATTGTTTACATAATAAGGTCACTATAACATACTTCAGTAAGAAAATTTATATGATACCCTACACCTGCTATAAAAAGGTAAGCAATTATGGATCGATTCTCACTTCTTGGTATTGAATTTTATTACAAAATTGATGTTAATTCGAATTCTATGGCAATTAGACTGGTTTTAGATGAAACCCTAAATGCGACCTATAGTTTGTTTATAAGTTTAACATGAACGGACAGACCGATAAAGCTAAATCAACGCAGAAAGTTATTCTGTAATTTCGTAGTTTACGTACATTTTCTTTACGCAACAATAACAAATTATTATTGTGAATTATTATTGGAGATACATATTGCAAAATAGTCGGAGCTGAGATATGATTTACAGTTGGTAAGTTGAATGAGGGCCAGTGGAAGATTTCTAAAATTTGTCACCTCAGCTTTAAAATTATTTCTCAAATCGTCAAAAATGTATATATGATCGGAATATCGGAATCGGAATAAAATTTGTAAGAATTATCGAAATTGGTACGGATAATTTTAATGGGATTACAGTGGGCTAATTAATATTTGTGTATGTTATATTTTAAAATCATTTTGAATTAATTTAACAAAAGTGCAAAGTTGAGCAGAATGTTTGAAAATATATCTGAATATCTAAACGAAGGGCCGATCGCAGTATTTGGATTTAGATTATACAAATTTTCCCCATAAATATTTACTTTAAGGGCTTCGTTCCGAATCTGGCCAATATTTTATTATAAAAATTTCTACATGTTAATTTTCGGCCAAAGATTACACCGAAGCACTTAACTCTATGGATATCCTTACCCAGAAAACAGGGATCCATATACCTAGCAATTTTTAGAGTTCTTGTGAAAATACAGCCTTCAGTCTTCGCCATTTTTTTAAGTCCATTGTAAGGCAGCATTTAGGACGTCTATACAAATAATTTTGATCAAAGTCCTTTCTCAATTATGGTCCATAGGGGTCTATCAATCGTGGTTATCCAAAGTTATGCAAAAAACTCCTCCCTGTGGAGATCCGTGGAGCAACCTCTTCCAGATAGATATATGGAACATTTCGCATTTGTTCCTTAGCATGTAATTGCTGTAGTAATAGACCATAGATTAGGCGATAAACTAGAGTATACACCAAACTATAGACTATATGAAAGTCTATAGACTAAACTATAGACTAGACAATAGACCAAACTATTAACTAGACAATAGACTATAGACTAGACAATAGACAACAGACTAGAAAATAACTAGGCAATTTACTAAACTATAGACTAGACTATAGACTAGACAATAGACTAGAAAATACACTAGACTATAGACTAGACTATAGACTAGACTACAGACTAGACTATAGACTAGACTATAGACTAGACTATAGACTCGACTACAGACTAGACTATAGACTAGACTACAGACTAGACTATAGACTAGACTATAGACTAGACTATAGACTAGACTATAGACTAGACTATAGACTAGACTATAGACTAGACTATAGACTAGACTATAGACTAGACTAAAGACTAGACTATAGACTAGACTATAGACTAGACTATAGACTAGACTATAGACTAGACTATAGACTAGACTATAGACTAGACTATAGACTAGACTATAGACTAGACTATAGACTAGACTATAGACTAGACTATAGACTAGACTATAGACTAGACTATAGACTAGATTATAGACTAGACTATAGACTAGACTACAGACTAGACTATAGACTAACTATAGACTAGACTATAGACTAGACTATAGACTAGACTATAGACTAGACTAAGACTGTAGACTAGACTAAGACTGACTATAGACTAGACATAGGACTAGACCTATAGACTAGACTATAGACTAGCTATAGACTAGACTATAGACTAGGACTATAGACTAGACTATAGACTTAGACCTATAGACTAGACTATAGACTAGACTATAGACTAGACTATAGACTAGACTATAGACTAGACTATAGACTAGACTATAGACTAGAACTAGACTAGACTATAGACTAGACTATAGACTAGACCTATAGACTAGACTATAGACTAGACTATAGACTAGACTATAGACTAGACTATAGACTAGACTATAGACTAGACTATAGACTAGACTATAGACTAGACTATAGACTAGACTATAGACTAGACTATAGACTAGACTATAGACTAGACTATAGACTAGACTAGGACTAGACTATAGACTAGACTATAGACTAGACTATAGACTAGACTATAGACTAGACTATAGACTAGACTATAGACTAGACTATAGACTAGACTATAGACTAGACTATAGGACTAGACTATAGACTAGACTATAGACTAGACTATAGACTAGACTATAGACTAGACTATAGACTAGACTATAGACTAGACTATAGACTAGACTATAGACTAGACTATAGACTAGACTATAGACTAGACTATAGACTAGACTATAGACTAGACTATAGACTAGACTATAGACTAGACTATAGACTAGACTTATAGACTAGATTAGACTAGACTATAGACCAAACTATTAACTAGACAATAGACTATAGACTAGACAATAGACAACAGACTAGAAAAATAAACTAGGCATTTACTAAACTATAGACTAGACTATAGACTAGACTATAGACTAGACAATAGACTAGAAAATAGACTATATAGACTAGACTTATAGACTAGACTATAGACTAGCTATAGACCCGACACAGACTAGATTATAGACTAGACTACAGACTAGACTATAGACTAGACATATAGACTAGACTATAGACTAGACTAGCTAGACTAGACTATAGACTAGACTATAGACTAGACTATAGACTAGATCATGACGATAGACTATAGACTAGACTATAGACTAGACTATAGACTAGACTATAGACTAGACTTAGACTATAGACTAGACTATAGACTAGACTATAGACTAGACTATAGACTAGACTATAGACTAGACTATAGACTAGACTATAGACTAGACTATATACTAGACTATAGACTAGACTATAGACTAGACTATAGACTAGACTATAGACTAGACTATAGACTAGACTATAGACTAGACTATAGACTAGACTATAGACTAGACTATAGACTAGACTATAGACTAGACTATAGACTAGACTATAGACTAGACTATAGACTAGACTATAGACTAGACTATAGACTAGACTATAGACTAGACTATAGACTAGACTATAGACTAGACTATAGACTAGACTATAGACTAGACTATAGACTAGACTATAGACTAGACTATAGACTAGACTATAGACTAGACTGTAGACTAGACTATAGACAAGACTATAGACTAGACTATAGACTAGACTATAGACTATACTATAGACTAGACTATAGACTAGACTATAGACTAGACTATAGACTAGACTATAGACTAGACTATAGACTAGACTATAGACTAGACTATAGACTAGACTATAGACTAGACTATAGACTAGACTATAGACTAGACTATACTAGACTATAGACTAGACTATAGACTAGACTATAGACTAGACTATAGACTAGACTATAGACTAGACTATAGACTAGACTATAGACTAGACTATAGACTAGACTATAGACTAGACTATAGACTAGACTATAGACTAGACTATAGACTAGACTATAGACTAGACTATAGACTAGACTATAGACTAGACTATAGACTAGACTATAGACTAGACTATAGACTAGACTATAGACTAGACCACAGACTAGACTATAGACTAGACTATAGACTAGACTATAGACTAGACTATAGACTTGACTATAGACTAGACTATAGACTAGACTATAGACTAGACTATAGACTAGACTATAGACTAGACTATAGACTAGACTATAGACTAGACTATAGACTAGACTATAGACTAGACTATAGACTAGACTATAGACTAGACTATAGACTAGACTATAGACTAGACTAGACTAGACTATAGACTAGACTATAGACTAGACTATAGACTATACTATAGACTAGACTATAGACTAGACTATAGACTAGACTATAGACTAGACTATGGACTAGACTATAGACTAGACTATAGACTAGACTATAGACTAGACTATAGACTAGACTATAGACTAGACTATAGACTACACTATAGACTAGACTATAGACTAGACTATAGACTACACTACAGACTAGACTATAGACTAGACTATAGACTAGACTATAGACTAGACTATAGACTAGACTATAGACTCGACTGCAGACTAGATATAGACTAGACTACAGACTAGACTATAGACTAGACTATAGACTAGACTATAGACTAGACTATAGACTAGACTATAGACTAGACTATAGACTAGACTATATACTTGACTATAGACTAGACTATAGACTTGACTATAGACTAGACTATAGACTAGACTATAGACTAGACTATAGACTAGACTATAGACTAGACTATAGACTAGACTATAGACTAGACTATAGACTACTATAGACTAGACTATAGACTAGACTATAGACTAGACTATAGACTAGACTATAGACTAGACTATAGACTAGACTATAGACTAGACTATAGACTAGACTATAGACTAGACTGTAGACTAGACTATAGACTAGACTATAGACTAGACTATAGACTAGACTATAGACTAGACTTAGACTAGACTATAGACTAGACTATAGACTAGACTATAGACTAGACTATAGACTAGACTATAGACTAGACTATAGACTAGACTATAGACTAGACTATAGACTAGACTATAGACTAGACTATAGACTAGACTATAGACTAGACTATAG